TGTGAAACATGACATGATCTTGGAGGATTTTCTGTGCTTGCCATGAAACAAGCCTGCCACAGGTATCAAGCGGGCTTTGTGTTGGGGCTGTAATCATGTTACAAATTGAACGCTTCCACATGTGCGTGCTGGCACATCCACCCTCGGCTATCTCACATGTATCTGCCCCAAGGTACAGATGCTGAGGTCTTGACATAGCATAATATGGATCTAAATATATTTTCCAGATTGCCTTAGCACATGCTAATGAAAAAGAGGAGTAAAAGGCCCGAAAGAAGCAGCTGTTTAAAATTTTCTTCAATCCCTGAAAATCAACTTCTTAATTACTGATAATTTAAGCATCAAAATCACCACTAACCCTCTTCTCCCACTAGACCCTCCCAAGCTGGGAGGCCTGCTTGAAGACTCTTGGGCAAAACTTTTTCTTAGAAGTGTAGCATTTCATCAAATGTCTTTAGCTTTTCTGGAATTAATTAGTATTAAAATAAAGCAGGGAAAAGGCAAGTGCCTGCCAGAGGTGCCTTTTCTCAGACCCCCCGCTCAGACTGCATTGTCCCACAATACTTTCATATTTCCATAGCACCTTTCATAATAAAAGGTTCCCCAAACTTCCCCAAATGGACTCAGAGATATAAATAGCTTCAATTGCCTTTAAAATGTGCACCATCTTGGATCAAAAAAAGCAGGCTTTTCTTCCACCACTCAAAAGGATCTGCGTTTAGTCTGTTTTATGTTCGTACCTAGGGGGGCAGCCAGTCCCAAGCAAAGTTTAGGCAGCAGTTTTGGGATAACAGTTTGCAAGATGTTCCACGAGTTCCTGGATCAGTGTGTGGCAGTGGGGCCTCTCTCCAGAGATCATCTAATTGTTAGTCTTATTAAAATCTAAATTCTGGGATAATGTTGCTTAAAAATGCTTTCCTCTAGCAGCGAGTCTGAATCAGGGGAAAAAAAAATAATGGAAGAGGGATGCAGTACTTATTTTTTACTTTTTATTTGATGTTCACCATCTCCCCAGACTTCCCTAAGTGACTCTGAACTTGAGTTGAGCCTTTCCTAAAGCTGGCACCATTTTCTGCACAGAAACAGAAGTTGAATTAATTTGTCTCTTGCCAGCCCCAGAGTAGGTGTACTCAGAGTGCTACAGAGCCAGTCAATGGCTGGTTTTGGCCAAGCTGCAGAAAACATTTTCCTGCTAACCGGAGTCCTGGCAAGAAACATGGGCTTTTACATGGAAAAAGGGGTTTCTGTTTGCTGCTGGATACCTTTGTTTTGTTTAAATCATTACTGGAAGCATCTTTAAAACTGAGTTTTCCACACCACTCTATGAGTGAGCAACTAAGCCACAAGTGGGACTAAATCTAGCTGGAAGGCAGAGCACAGGGAGCCATCCAGGAGCTCACTGTGAGTCTCCACATGTGAGAGCCCTGACAGAAAAGTTTTAAAGTTCAAGACAGGCATGGAGCAACGGGCCAAACTGAATAGCTGAGCAAAAGCAGCCCTGCAAATGCTTTTATAATAACTTCCCCTCCCATTACTCCACAAATGTACCCACTGGAAACAGCAGCTGACACGGGAATGGTGACTGAGACCCACAGGGTATTGAGGAGCTGGGCCAGAGTGAAATATTGATCAATCATCTTGTCATGCTGGGGCTTTGTAGGGTTCTGTAGATAGGAATTGAGAGGGTAATGTGCAGCTCCTCCATCTAGGAAGGCTGCTGGATCACATGGCAGCGATTTGTTGACTTGCAGAAAAGTACTACAGTGGGGTGAACAGTAGGATGATGCTGAAATAAGCTGAAGGGATTTTTGAAAAGTATTGACTTTTTTTTTTTTTTTCCTTTAAAAAAAGTTAAATCACTGTAGCAGAAAGCCAGAAACATCAATCCTCACTCAGCATCTGTTTGCATCTGGACAATTGCACCTGTGTGGTCCATTGGGGAGGGTATGACACAAAGACAAAAATTATCCAGTTTTCTTTGTTTATTGGGGGATGAGATGAGTAATCAAATCTGGGTTTGCTTTTCAGCTACTCCTCTGGGTGAACAGCTCTGGCAGTGAGACAAGGCAATGCTAATCAAGGTCGTGGTAAGGGATCTACGTGGACTTGTGATATTACAGAAATACACTGTCCCCTCTGCCCATCAAACCCCGTGAGCAGTGCTGCTGGGTGGGATACTCTGACAGGAAAGCACCAAGTTCCAGGCAAGCAAGGGGAAAATCAGCTCAGGGATTGGCAGCAGTCGCTCCCTAATGGTCACCAGACCTGGTTATGGGCAGGTTGAACTAACCTGAGCTCAGCTCAAGGAGTGCTTTTCCTGACAGGTCTATGATACGTGTGCTACTGTAACCCAGAACATTAAACCCAGGGGACACTGTCCCACCCTGTCTCCACCTCCCAAAACCTCTTTCATCTAGGGCAGGTGAGGGCAGAGCTGATAAGAAGTGTCATTGCATCCAATTAAAGGGGAAAATGATCTGGAAAGTTGTTTGCACATAAAACTTGACTTGATTAATCTATTTGTTCTCTGTATTTGGCAGAAACCTAAAACCGAGTTTCACAGTGACTTTAACTGCACTAAAAATAATAGCCTCTTTATGCAATTATCTGCATGTACCTGGCCATTGCCTCAGGCCAGTGCAGTACAAGAATACGCACAGGGGATTTTTTCCTTCACCTATTTACCTTTTTTCCCAGGTGGGGTTTAGGCTTCCTGCATGAAAACCATTGGGGTGTAGGTCTCAGCTTGCCACCCACTTGTGCAGAAGGCTCTCGAGCTGAAGGAGAAAACCAAACAAGCTCACACCTGGGCTGAAGACAAGAATGACACACACAGGTTATTCTGAAATATAACTTAAATATCTTAGGAGCTACCAGAGGTCTTTGTGCACTGATGCAGGCTGAGAGAGGAGCATCTCAGCCCTTCCATCTCTGCTGATGGGAAGAGCAGCAAGATGGGCATTCCTTGGGAAAATGCTGGCTTTTCCTGACATCCCTCCTCCACAGGTTGCCCAGAAGCAGGGGTTCAGATCTGATTTCAAAGTGAACACAAATTAAAATGCTCTTTTTTCCCCCCTTTTAGACCATAAAAGGCTCATTTTATACAGCTGGAGGCTCGTTTAGCTTCTCAGCCATGGATTTTGATCACTCTGGTGAGTGAATATTTCACTATGCCCCAGCCAAGACTTCCCAACGTTGTCCCCACAAGCAGCAGGCAGGAAAAACTCAAACTCAGGGCTCCACAAGCGCCTTTGAAGGTGACACTGCACCAACCTCTTCTGTGAAATGACCTAAATATCCCTCTTCTCCAAGGTAGTGTTATGAAACTTAAAGGACTTAACTAAACCCCTCCAACAGTCGTTCTATTGAGAGGCTCTGGCTCGTGTCCCACATTTCATGGCCAAATCCAAGACACCTCCCAGTGCCCCATCCTCTCACGACCCCACAGATCCATCTTTGCTGCAGAGGAAATTCTCCTCTTTTTTTTTTCTTTTTTTTTTGCCCCAACTCAGACAAAACCAAGACAAAAATGAAATAGATCCCTTCAGTTTTGTAGTCCTTTATTATTTTTTTTTTAAAGTTGATCCTCCCATAGTAATGTACTGAAATGCGTAACAGTTACATTGTACAAAGCATTTAAAGAAAGTACCTCAACTTGCCGATTATTTCAAAATGAGATTATAAACAAAAGGAAAAATAAATCTGGTCCCTCACTAAAGGCCAAAAAAACCCCCAAAAATAACTGAATACCTTCCGTTATTTATTTATTTTTTTTTAAAACATAAATTTGGAACACTTCATCTTACAAATAGGATTAACATGAACATAACATCACACAAGCTCGCAGACAACCAGCATAAAATATTGGGTACAGTTTTTTTAATCAGAAGAATCATGCTTTCATGAAAAAATTATAACTGTTTATACAATCGAATCAATTTACTGTATTACAAAAAAAAAAAAAAAAAAACAGAACAAAACTAAGTCGCATCTATTAGTTATTTAGTTCATTAAAAGGCAAAAAAAAATAAAATAAAATAAAAGAGGAATGTAAGAAAATTTCAAACACTGTTTTGCACTCCCATATACACAGATCAGTTCACCTCACTTTTTTGGAAGTACATGGGTGCCTTACATCGTAACGCAGTGGGGGACTGGAGCAGTGCTGTTTGTTACAGGAACAGTGCTATTGTAATCAACAAACAATCGTTTGCCAACAAATAAATACACGGTACACACAACACAAACGAGAAATTAAGAGGGCAGGGGAAAAGGAAACAATACAAGAAAATAGTGACATGATTGTCGAAAATTAAAAATCTCCTTACAATGATTCGAACTAGTGGTGCTGTCGATGAACGCGGTGCTTTCACGGAATTATCTGGATGATTTAGCTTCTTGGAGTAGTGAACATTCATAGTTTACAATATACACAAGCCTCTTATGTATTGTTTCTCAGAGTCCTTTCTTTTTCTGTCTTTTTTTTTTTTCTCCTTGTTTTTCCTTTTTTTTTTAAACAATGCAGTTGAGAAGGCAAAAGAATTACGGAGAGAACAAAATATTCCCTGCTACTTCTTTCTACATTTACGATGGATAGTGTGCATTTGATAGAACTATTTTCTTTCTTTGAAGGGCTAAAATGCATAAAGCTTTAATGAAGAGATTTGTACATAAAAGCAACTGTTCCCAATCCTGTGTCAAACTATCTTATACAAAAAGAAAATCAATTCAGTTCCTACTTTAAAGGAGTGCCCATGTGTGTATCAATGCAGTCTTAACCCTTCTGCCCCTGCCCCTCAAAGCCGGGTGAACTGGAAGACACTTTTTCCCGGCCCAGTTTACATAATCCACTGAAACTTTTTTTTTTTCCTTCCTTTTTTTTTTGAGTCGCATTGATCCTCCAGAAGTCAGCAGCTGCCTTTGCTGTGCAAAACAAAATATTGAGAATAAATAGTTTCTTTCTTTTTTTTTTTTTTTTTTTTTTTTTTTTTTTTTCTTTCTTAAAATTATTCAGTTTAAGGTCACCGGACTTTAAATGAGTGACCCTGCAGATTTATAAGGCATTCTGCTCAGCAGTCTTTTAAAGAGTCATATATGAAAGAGCCATGCTACTGGTTTGGACTTGGTCCCATCCTCGGTAAGACTCCGCACTGTCATACGTGGCTGATGGACTGGATGGCGCTGGATTCCGCGGCGGCTCTCGCCATACTGAGCCACATGTTGGGAGAAGTGTGGGATGCAGAATGAAGGGAGTCCTTGTCGGAGAGAGAGAGCATCATGGCATAGGCCTGGACGGGGAGAGAAGAAGGACAGAGAGGTCACACTCCCGTGGCGCGGATCTGAGCTTGGAGCCGCGCCGCCCCTGCGCGCTCAGGGCAGCAGTCAGCCTACGGCCACCAGGCTCAACTCGGTTAAAGAAAACCCCAACAAAATGCTTTAGGTAAAACCACTGTCAACCCTTTCACTGACACTTTTGACTCACTAATAGCAATAATAATTTCTGCTTTCATCTGGTTTCACAAAGCTCAGAGAAACCTTTGATAGTCGACAAGGTCCCAAAGTCTCCTTTGCCTTCAGATTCTTGGCACAGGAGGCTCTTTTCAAGAGGCTGAGGAATCACATTATCCCTTGTCTCGTCCTGTATTTCACCAAACATAACAGTCTCCTTTTCTGACCTTTCCTACATGCATATTCTGCAGTTTTTAAAACAGGAATCTTTCAAAGGGGCTAAAAAAACTCATTTTAATTAATCAATGTTTAGAAAAGGGCAAAAAATAGCACGAGGATACCATTTCAGTTATTGCTGTTTGGAAAACATGCTGAGGACCCAGAAGTGGTACCATCCAACAGGCTAAAATAATACCAAAAAGCCAAGCCAGCCAGAAGATCAAGTCACATCCCTGTGAGGCTGCAGCTGAACTCCACAGCATCAGTGTCAGCTGATGAGGGGAGATGATGGGACTAGTTCTCACCATGGCATTTCTGTGGGCAGCAGGCAGAACAAAAATAGCAAAAAAAAGTAAGAAAAAAGTATGTTCTCGGGGAGCAGAGCACCCTGCCATGTCTCAGGGGTGCAGTGGGCTGTTGGGTGAGCCTGAGGTTTGTGGACATGGAGCACAGCCCTGTCTGACAAGGCTGGAACAACCCTGCCTGCCACACACTAACAGCTTAATCCTGTGGGAATTTGGCGACAATAACATTTTAACTGAGTTAAGCTTTTACCTGGGATTTGGATTTCCTGTACAACGGTTGCTTGAGGTCCTCTGGCAGCTGGGAAGCATTGAAAGCTGCCAATTCAGCTTCACTGTATTGATTTTCTTCCATTTTCCTCATTTTGAGGCTATCCGTGAAGTGCCTTATGTGGTCCAAAGCTGAAAGTCCAGTCTTATTGTACTCCTCTTCTTTATACCTACAAAAACACCATGGAGGTTTCAAATGTCAATGAAATGATCCTCTCTGCGTTCCCTCATCTTCTTGGATTTACACACCTGAGCAATTTCCCCCTTTCTCACATTCATAAACCACCTTGCCTCGTGCAATGGTGGTCCTGAAACAAAAGGAATTCCCTTTTCTGGTCTAAAGAAAGGGCAGTTGAGTGGGGGAGGGAGAGTTTGTCTCTCACAGTGTCTCCACAGCCCTTCGCAAGGCCATTATGAGAGGTCCAGGACAGCTCACAGATTAGATAACGTCTCTCCCATGGAACTGTCTCACCCTGCTTCCTGTCTCAGCCAGAACCTCACAATAGCTCCCCAAGCACAGTCCATTTTCCTAACAAGGGCTCCAGGCTGCACGAAGAGGCAGAAAGCAGGGCTGGTGCTGACCCAAACACAGAGGCACGTTGCTATTGTGAGTGGGAAGCGGCTGCTCCGGACCGGCAGCCGGTTTGGTGCTGGCACTCTCGTATGGTTTATTGTTTTTATTCCGCCTATCGGGCACACCAATACTCGGAAGGAACCAACCTGCCAGGGGAAGCTTTGCAGTTCATGTCCAAAGTACTCGTTTCCTCGTAATCCTCCTCGGGGGTGCCCTCATGAATGTCACTCGTCACGGGCTCTTTGACTGCTTTCCCTGCCATTTCGCTCTCTTCATCCTCTTCATCCATCATTACTTCATCTTCTGCCTCCTCGTCATCCAACAGATCCGAGTTCTGGCTGGCTATCATGGCTTTCTCATCCTTAAAGTGGCTGCCATTCATTCTGAAATAGTACCGAAGTACCAAAACAAATGCAAACTATAAACACAGATCAGATATGAAAGCTCCTCATCGGCAGACTATTGGAGGCAGATCTGAAAAGCATCTGTCCCAGCAGAATAAAGTGATTTTTGTATTTTGTATCTTGCTTAGCTTCAGACATTCAGGCAGCATTGGAGAAAATTCCACTCAGAAATCCATGGGACATTACAGCATGGGATTTTCCTGTTATCCTGCTAAAACTACTGTTCTAACAGAGGCATGTTCACATAACCATTCCAAATTTTCTCATGCATTATTTCATCTCAAGTTTCCAATCATACATGTAGTCTGAGAAAAACAACTCACTGCCTTTTAACAGAAGCTGTAGGGGCCAAGAAACACTGAAAATCGGATCTGGCATTTTTAACAAAAAATGACATCCAATATTGCATTCAGTTTTAATGTCAAAATCACATGCATAATTAATTGTGTACACTACCACCCCTTTGGAAGCCCTATTGCTTCACTGAATGTATGGATTTCATACATGGGAACCTAAGGGACTTCAGCTGGAGATCTGAAGAGTGGTCTGCAATATTGCCTCCGTGCTGAACTAGGTTATTGATTGATTTGAAGGGTAAAAAGCAATGAAAAGAAAGGTCATATGGCAATTTAAGTGCATTTATTCTTATTAAATGAGTAATTACAGCAATACACACGTGGAAAACCATTTGGTCTACGCGCTGTTATTACGCTGCCCTTTGCTCTCAGACAATGACTTCTCTTAACTACTTCCTACGGGATTTTTATCAAGGACGTAACACCCACGCTGAAGCAGGGGCTGGTTTGGTAATGGTCTCAACCCCGTAGGGTTCAGAGCATCCAGCGCTGCATGGTGTCCATCACATCAAATGAGAGCCGAAGAAATTCGGCACCGCAGCCTCAACGAACGCCCAACCAGAGGCACAGCGACGCCAACGAGCTGCACCCACCGGAGCCCCCCCAAAATTCATGCTACCACTCTATCTGCCCCCACCACGTCATGCAGCACAGAGGCCTTGATTCATCTATTGTTCTCATTGTGCAAAAGGTCCTTAACTCTTCCAGGAATACAGTTATAAAAATGGAAACCTTATTGTCCACACACAGTTTGCTTCAGACTCCGTGTGCTTCAAACTGTGCGGGACAATATGGGATAGACCCTAAGCTGGAGCACGATAAGATGAACCCTCACAGCCTTGCTGGTGTTTAACATTTGGCTTTCTGAGGAGCAAAGATGGTTTCTGCCACAATAATAGCACCGTTTTCCCTGAACATTATTAGAGTTTCATCTATTTTCCGAGCAAATTCCAGCTGACTGCCATGAGTTTAGTATTGCATTGAAAAAAATGCTCTAGGGAACGGTCTGTCTTTAGAACAGTATCAAAAAAATCTGAGGTTGTGCAGAACAGGGAGAGCTGAAGCAGCCACCTCCCTCTAAGATCATCAGAGAAATATCTCTTTATCATCTTTTATTTAAATAGGCAGAAATAAGAGATTGCTGAGCGCAGTTTGAGCTGCCAACTTGCTTGTTATGCTCAATTGAGGCTGCTAGAAATGAAAGGGAGATGGACTACAACCAAAGTAACAAAAGCCATGTGATTAAGAAAACAGATTCTCTAATTATGCTTTCAAATGTAGCAATTTGCCAGGGATAAAATATCCGTCAAGAGCAGTCTGAAGTGCCAAATTTAGAAAGGAAACACTGCACAACCCAGCAACCTTTCCACTTTTCTGACTTCCTGTCGGAGGACATGTTGAGACCAGATGTTTAAGGAAAAAATCCCAAGCCCTCATTGCCAATCAAGATGGAATGAAATTTGAATATGCATGTAATCACTTAATCCAATACTTTTGTGGAAATTGTGTTGTGTCCCCCCTTTTGATCCTTTCACAAAGGCATCTAGAAATTGAGAAGACAGCAAAGTTTGTCACTGACAGTAAGAATTTTTTGATGTTGATAATGTAATGCCAATTCAAAAGGGAAAATAATGCATAATGCAACACCAATCCCAAAGAAATACGTGGGGCTCCATCCCACAGCCTTTTCTGCTTAGCTGCACTTTTATTAACTGAAAATATTTAGAAGTGGTCTCTCTTCAGTTAGTTCAGAAGAATTCAAACACCCATGTACTTAATAAATCTTAGTAGAAAAAGCTCTCTCACATGCTGGAGCACCGTGGACTCCCAACGCCCACCCGCAGCCTCACAGGCTTTTGGCTACTCAGCATCTTTCTTGGGATTGAGTTACTTACGGGAAAGGACTTTCAGCTACAATCTTTCATTTGATCCAAGAATTCAGCTTGGTCTACTTTATTAATTACACATTTAAATTGCACCTAAATCCTAAGGCTCCATACATTTAGCCACAGGATGTAGAATTCACCTGTTCTGCAGTGAATGTTACAGAGAAGGAATTTTTCAGCAGACTTAAATCAGCGGTGGGAGCCTGAAACTGAGAGCTCCAGATACAAGAGAAAGGTGTGTTCACAGATGGAATCTCTTGTCCACTTGGAACATCTTCATACACAGTGGGGAGGGAATCAACACATTTCTTTTCCTGAGACACCAAGGTGGCCACTGAAGCAACCAGATTCTAAAATAACTCTGGCTCCAGACATCATCAAAAGTGAACAATCAGGTCTGCAGACCTGGAAAAGAATGGTGGGCACCTTCTGAAGGCAGATCAGACACAACTCACCTCTCCTCTGAGTTTTGGGGGGATTGATTGTTGTGGTTGCTGTTTCCAATAAAATTCCTAATTTCTGTGAAGTAAGAGTCTTCCTTGTCATCTAGGATTGCCCCTGTGCTTTCCAGTTCTGAGTGAGGTGAAGATGTTGCAGTACCTTAAAGCAAAACATACGACATCTGTTGCTGCTCCTTTATATTTTCTATATTTAAGCATTTAAATCAAATGGAAATTGAAACTCTGGTTAAAGGAGGTAAGACCCAAAGGTTGGTCAGCGTGAACTATCAGCTTTTGGCCATAAAACAAGTAATTAGTAATTATTCATGGGCAAAGGTGATTTCCAGCTAAAATTACTTGGTTGCATGCTGGGTACCCTTTCTGTGATTTATCATCACTTCTGCCATGTCTCTATTTCAACATCTCCCTCCTGCTCCTTGTGATTCCAAGACTGTCCATTGATAACTGTCCTTCTTAGACCAACAGCTTAAGTGAGCAAATGGAACTTAATTTTTAGCTATCAATTATGCAGATTTGTTCAAACTATAGAGCAGCCATTGCCATAATCTCCCAGGTTCATCAGCACTGAGAGACCAGTGTCAGACTTTCTCTGAGCACTGGGGAAGGGACAGCTCTGCATTCACTGCATGCCCCTGGTTATCTCCACTGAGGCAAGATGCAGACTGAAAGGACTGCAGAGAGGGTTTCCATGAAATGCTGCAGACACCCAAACCAGCCCAGTGACACCCCCTCCTGTCACTGCCTGTGCTGCTGCTGTGCAGTGACCAATTTGCTTTGGGGCTTGAGAGGCACCATTAGCTCCATAATAGCCAGCACTTTTCAGCTCCTGACAGTGGGAATATTTCAGAAGGTGCCAGGAAAATGTTTTAGAGTGCCCCCTGAGACTCTAAATCTAGGACTCCTATTGAGAGCCAAGTGATTGCAGAGATGGGATTAAACCAATTTTCCCTGTCCGTTCCCAAAATGCCATGGGTTGGCTTAATTAAAACCAAAAGAAAAGACATCACCCAGTGGTCTTAAGTTACACAAGGGGAGAGTTTATGCTGGGATTTTCAAAGCACTTTAAATGTCAGCAGAGCTTAGGCACCTACACCTTTTGCAGCCCCCCACCCGTCGGAGCAGCGTGTGCCTGTGGACCCTGGGCAGCACTGACAGGGAAAGGGCAATCCCTGGGACATGGGGCAGGCTGGGGAGGGGAGAGACAGGAGGGAAAAGTCAGAACATACCAGACATGTTCCCGTTCTCATGCTTTTTTAGATGTCTGTCAAGATTGGTTTGTTGACCAAAACACCTGTCACACAAGTGACACTTGAATGGCTTCTCTTTATTGTGGATGTTACGCACATGTCTCTGCAGGTTAGAGGATATGCTGAAGGATCTGTCACAGTATTTGCATCTAAAAAAAAGTGGGTAGGAAAGAGTTTGTTAGTTGAAGTGTAAGATTTGTCCTAAGATACATGAAGAGCCTTCTGGGCTCAGTCTCAGCACCCAACCACAGTTCCTTGATCCCTGCTGAGGCCCAATCCTCCCTGACATAAAGACAAATCTTGGCTAAGTGGGGAGCTGTGCTCTTGGAAAGGAGACATAACTTCCATGGTGGGGTTTTCAGCTTTAATTCACACTAGACTTTATATTTTAAATACTGCCTCTAGGAATGAGCAAAATATTTCTGAGCTAATGGCATCAAATTAGCTATGGTAATTGAGTCCCATGTTTTCAAAACTGTTGCATGCAAAGTTGGGAAGTTTGAAAACAGTAGAGCAATAACTGTATTGTTTCATGTGCTGCCAATACAATACAATTAAACACTTTTGGAAGAAACATGAAACAGATCTCTTCTAGTGCTCAAATAAGGTAAAAAGGGCTATTTCTTTTCCTATTCTAAATTATACTGTGTGATTAAATCTTTTCTTGAGGAATTAGCTTGCTTGATTGCTAATCCCAGAGGAAATTTGGTTATCTTGCAAAAACCAGCAATAAACAATCCCAACCTTTAATACTGTGCCAATGTGAGTAGTTTAGTCTATCACTCTGGTACCAGAGGCATCAATTTTCATACTCTGTAGCGATTTGGAGTCCCTAAAGCCTTTACTGTATTGCTCTTTAAGCCATTACTAAGTCATACTATAACTATTCCAAATTCTCAGGCTGGCAACTAGCCAAGAGTCTTCACCACTTTAGTTTTTCAATCTTTTACTTCTCCCGTGCCTCTCTTACACTTGTCAATGATGTCAAATTTTTTTAGTGCTGAAATCACCCATTATGCTACTAATTGCTTGTGGCTTTTATGCAGTGGATGGGTATAACATGCATCAAGACCTTCCTTCAATAAAATTAGATGTGAATCTCTTTTCCCAAAGAGACTAAATGAAAAAAACATATTGTTTCCTCACAAACAATGAGCTTACTCTGCTCTTTACAGCTCATAAAATGCAGAAATCTGTGCATTTGTTTTACTGGAACATGAACTGGCCTCTTTCCAGTTTAAATTAGCCTTTCATTTTCAATAAGGTGAAGCTTTATACACATTTCTGCATGTGACTGTCCTGGATTCAGTATCACACACATATTCTTATCAACAGAAGAGTACACCCACATGGGCTTTGGGGTTAAGCAGACCTCAGAAAAGAACCAGATTTGGCAGGAAACAAATAAATACAGTAACGCCTTTGCAACCGGGACCTTTCAGAAATCAGATGACTGACAAATCACCCAATTTAAGGCTGCAAATAACACTGCAGAACTGCAATAAAAAAAACTCCACATTTTTGCAAGGCAAAATACGTCCATGATCCCTACTGAACTGGTTCAGCAGTGCCAGCCACCCTGCCAGCAAAGGCAGGATTTGGGGATTGTGGTGGGAAGCTGCCCCAGCTGAAAGAACTTTACTAAGACCAAAACTCTCCCTTTCTTCAGCTTCAACACTGAGCAGCAGCACCGAATGCACAAAACTCTGAGACCAAAATGCAATGGTGGGTCCAAAGCTAAGGAGGAAGGGCTGGAGCTGGTCCAGCAAGGAAGTTGAATTCCTTGGCTTTATTCACAGAAAACGTCTGCACTGGAAGGGACCCTAAAGCTTGGCCAGAGCACGGGCAGGGCTGAGGGGTGTGGTACCTATAGGGCTGCTCTCCAGTGTGCGTCCTCAGGTGACGGGTCAGGTTTGCAGATCTCGGGAAAATCTTGCCACAGTATCTGTGATAAGAAAATGTTTGATAAGACAACATGGCCTTCAGTGGCTTCATCCCAGTTTGAGCTGCACTGGATGCACAGCCCAAATGGAATCATCACGATATGGTCCTACTGGCATTGCTTTGGTGCAACAACATTTTAATAAAAGCATTCAGCAAATGTAAGGGATCAACACACACACACACACACACACACAAGAGTGGGACTGGAACTGCTGGCACCAACCAGCTTTGCTTGTGCAGAATCAAAGGTTTATGAAAAATCTGTTTTAAAGATCACCCCAAGGTTCTAAGCCCACTGGGTGATTATCAGCCTCATTCAGATTTGGAATCAAGAGAATCTGTTATTAAAGCCTTGGATTTCTGCCTCAGTGTAAGCAAATTTCAAAGCTTTCAACCAATTCTACGTGTCAGCAAACGTGACACCGTTCTGTGCACTGAATAGGATCAGAGCAGACAAGACTCAAAGACCTAATCCATCAAGGTATGTTTCTATAACAACACATCTTGAAAGAAGGTGACATGTTTTCAAAAAGATCAGATAAACTGATATGCCAGTGTCAAACGCCTGCACATTCTGGAGATGATATAGAGACCTAAACAGTGCAATTTAAAAACCATTCTCCAAACTCGATAATATGTCACAGGAAAAGTAATGGTAAAAAAAACAATAAAATTATCGTGAGTTTTCCCCCCTTCATTCAAGTAACATGAATATTCAGTTTATAATTGGCCCGTTCTGTTGGGGACATTGAGCCCATTTTTGCATGGGGGCAGAGCACACAGAGCACTCTCTTAAGTGAATGAGGGTGGTGCCTGCTCCACACGATGACTTTGAAGATTGCATCCCTTCACTTATAACATCCCATTTATTTTTTCACAACGTGATGTATAAGCCTTCAAAATACCCACACAGCTAATTCCACTCTCCTTGACAAAGCTCCCATTCATTTTGGGTGCACATTCAATGACTATCTTCATTGTGGGGTTTTTTTTTTAAGTCCCTACACACAAGTCCTAATAAGTCATGTATTTTATCACTGATCCCTTTGGATATTAAAACCAGAAGCCTGAGAGAAAACACGTCTGTAGTTCACGATCAAAAAAATCAATAATGAAAGCACACTTTTATATACGAAAGTGATGAGAAAATTTGGGGGAAAAAAAAGGAATTGTTTATATAACAGTTTCCACCTCATTTATCAAACTTCTGTGATACAGGGTGATGCCGTAGGATTTAGCTTTTATATTTTTCAAATCCTCTACTGCTTTAGTGCATAACTCTAAAACTCCATATAGTGTTAGCTACTGTCTTCACATTTTGGTCAGACTAAACAATTCCTCTCTGTGCCTGAAACTCAAGGACACCTCACTGTCTCAGGCCCCGAGGGATGTAAAGAGTGAATTGTGAGGGGCAAAGCTGGAGTAAATTACTTCATTACCTGAAACCGTAATTGGGGAATTAACCCCGATATGTAAATGGACCAGAATTACAACTGTCTGAAAAGCTTGTGACCGTCACCCACCTTGGGGGCAGCCTCTGGGAGGCCTCTGACTGCCCAAGGTGTATCTATTGAAGGCCTTTAATAAATACCCGCTTTTATTCTCTTAATCTTGTTTAGCCTCTGTTCTAGGTGGCCACTCCAAGGCATCGAGGGAGAGCTCTTTGTTCTGTGACACCAATAATTTAATAAAGAGAATCACAGAATCACTGGGTTGGAAGAAACCTTCAAGATCATTGAGTCCAACCCATTCCCTAACACCTCAGCTAGGCCATGGCACTTGAGTGCTATATACACTTTTTCTTAAACACATCCAGGGATGGTGACTCCACCACCTCCCTGGGCAGGCCATTTCAGTACTTTATCACCCTTTCTGTAAAAATCTTGTTCCTAATATCCAACCTATATTTCCCTTGGTGCAGCCTGAGTCTGTGTCCTCTTGTTCTGTCAGTGCTGCCTGGAGAAAGAGCCCAACCCCGCCTGCATAGAACCACTTTTCAGGGAGTTGTAGAGATGATAGCATCACCTCTGAGTCTCCTTTTCTCCAGGATGAACAATCCCAGCCCCCTCAGCCATCCACCAGCCTCACTGCCCTCCTCTGGACACGCTCAAGCATCTCGATGTCCTTCCCAAACTGGGGGCCCAGAACCAGACACAGCACTCGAGGTGCGGCCTCTCCAGTGCCGAGCACAGGCGAAGAACTCCCTGCTCCTGCTGCCCCCAGCACTCCTGATCCAGGGCCAGGAGCCCCACGTGGGCACGGAGAGACTCGCTGTGGGATGCCAGAGCCAGGGGTCTGGGGAGGGCAGGGCTGGCCCCAGGGCTACCTGCAGGTGTAGCGCTCCTTGCCCTTGCGCAGCAGCGTCTCGGGGAGGGCGCTGGGCGGCGCGCGGAAGTTGAACATGGATGGCACCGACTGGATCAGCTCGCTGGCCTCCGGCTTCAGGGTGCTGAAGCTCTCCAGCTTCTCAGCCATGTTTTCTATAGCTGACACCTGCAGCAGGAGAGAGCACACAGCCCACCAAGGTCAATAATCCCCTCGGCTTCCTGCCCCCACCGGCAACACAAAATGAAGAGAACGTCGACTGACAAGTGAAAGAAGAAAAGGGAAAAAAGTCAGTGTAGAGCTGGAGTATTGAAAATTATGGGTCATGAGGGCCAGTGTTCACTTCTTATTATTTTTAAGCCCCAGCTCCTATAAAATTCCAGGTTTTGCAGTCATGCTCTGTAGGTTGCGTGCCTACAAGTCTATGCACCCCATCTGCAGAAATCTTGGAGTATTTATTACCAAATGAACAGAAATAATAACTGAACTTCTAATAAGCACTTGCAGAGGACACATATTGCAGAAGAAACCCCATGAACACTCTAGCTCAACCAAGGGCTGCAACAATCCAGATCCAAAAAGGCTCCAGCAATGTCCCAGCCACATCCAGTCCAGTGCTCTAGCCCATTATAGCCAAAGACCATCAGATAAACACAGAAGAAATGAAACTTTGGTGGGTTTGGTGCTCAGTATTCACATTGCCTGTTAGATGTCTATGCTATTTTTTCCACCTTTTATTATTCTTGCTTTACCTTTAGTTGCTTTTAACTCCTATGTGTTTTGGGATGGCTCCACTCCTGATTAGCTGTCTCTAATTTTCAGGGAGTGAGGATTAAGTCATTTCTGGAGAACAGTTTCCTTGAAGTTGTCTGGAACAGACCATGAAAAGCTCCTCCAAAACCTCAAACATTGCCACTTGAAGAGTTCAAGAATGCTGGTGAGCCTACTGACAGGTGAGAATAACCATCCACCTCTCCACAATACCACAAACAAATGAAAATAAGAAAGTCAAGCTCTCACCTACAGAGCACAAAACCCACAGCATGAGCCCTGTGCAAGATCTTGCTTGCAACAAAGGAAATTACATGAAAGACATGATGTTGAACCCTTCTCAGCTGGAACACCTCCACAGACCGATCTTCAAAATCCATAAAACGTTCCTCTGATTGTTGGAAAACTGAAATTTTAATTGGAAGAACTGGGCATTTCTGCAGGTTTATTTGATTTTATTTTCATTGGCAGAATTACACAGCTGTCTCCTGGCATGACTATTTCCATGCTGGTTAGCTCTGCCTTTGGCCTGGGTTGTTTTTTTCCCTTTAGCCTGTAGCCTGCCCTCTCATTTCATGCTCAGATTCCTAATGCTGAGTACAAATTGCAACGTACAGGGTACCACTGCCAATTTGCCAAATGTCTTTCATCAAACACGGTGGAAAAAAATAAAAAATCTCAGAGGGAAGTCAAGATACATTTACTTGTCAGGCAACAAATGTGAAAGCACTGGGAGGCAGTAAGGGCTGTAAGCTCTGGGGTTTGATTCATAATCACTCAGCTGCTAAAACATTCTCCACAGATGCAAGTGGACAGCACATTTGTCAATATGAAGGATTTTGACATGTACTGATCACAGGCATGAGATATGTAATGATGATGCTGCTGGGAGAGGAGGTAATTCTATCTCGGCACCGAGATGTCATTATCAACCCATACACCTCAACATTACCATATATTTCTTTTTATACGACTTCATCTTCTCCTTCAGTTGGAATTGATTCTTTAAGCTTTTAAACTAGATGTTCCACCACCTTTAATTCCTTCTAATTGTTCCCCACAAAAATTCACTCATCTATTTTACAACTGCTGAAAATAAATGGTTTGAATGAAAAATGCCCTTTGGCCTTCGGGCTGATTAGCAATGACAAGACAGTGCAGGGGTTATGATATCACATATTTATGGTGAAGAATAATAAGGGTACTGAGAAGTATAATAAATGTTTTATTTATGTATATTTAATATTCAAGTCCATTTCATTATCTAGTGGGTTTAAATCAATTTTGGATCACAATTTCTCATGCACACAGTCCCTGCCGGTATTATATTAAAGCAACTATTTTCCCCTTTACATTTAAAATGGCTTAGTCATGCTGATTTTTTAGTTCTTATTTCCAGGATTTTGCAGAGTAGAAAATGAGACAGACTCTTGTTTCATGCACAAGAACACAGATCAGCTCTACCTCCAACACTGCCTCCAGGATTACCTCAGTCCCAAAATAGGTATGAAATCAGCACCTAATCTTAAATCCCTCATCCAGAGGAAACACGAGCACTTCCAATTATTTTAAAGCATTACTCGCTTTCTAAAAATATGTTTCTCACCATAGGAATGACTATTGTGCTTGCTGGTTTGCTGTTTAGTTTTTTGTTTGCTTTTTCTTTTTTTTTTCTGAACTCTGACTTATGTGGTGACCTGGTATGATTTATGTTTTTCAAGAAGTGCACCAGCAGCAGTGGGAAGTGTTTGTCCCACGGCTTTGCTGATCCGAGGCACTGTCACTCCACTGCTATCAGGATAATTACAGCTGCTACTGTCTGCTGGAGTTAGGGCTCCCAAGAACCAAAATTGGGAAATTTTCTTAAGAAGTCCTGGAGTGTTTTGGTGCTCAGAGCCATCCATAAGCAACTCCTATCGTGAGATGGGTTCCTGGGCTCTGGGGACATTTTACAGCTCATGGAATCCTGCAGCCCTGATCCACAACGTGCTGTCCTTCACCTTCAGTGCAGACAGCCCCTGCTCACCAGCCCACTTCCAAAATACCAGCTGAGCAGTAAGAAATCCGGGGGTTTTGCACTCAGGATTAACCCAGACACCAAAACCAAGCAGGAATTCTAAACCTGTGACACCAGCTGCTGGAAGCTGGTACTCGGCACCAAGCGGTGGCTCCAGGGGACACACAGCAGGGTGGGCAGGGGACAGATCTCCCCACTGCCACACACCAGCACAGGGAGCTGCAAGAGCATCCACTGGAGGCTGCATCTCCATTACAACATTGAAGGGCCATCGGCTCCTGCTCCTATTCACTCGGCTAAACCTTTTCAAACCCATTTCTACTTCTGTCCAGGACAGTTCAGCAATTTAATTAGGTGCATATGAAAAGATACAGGCTTTTGTTCCTTCTAAGCCTTTTGCCTGATACTTTTTGTGGGTTTGGGTTTTTTTTTTTGTATTGTTATCACTAATGAATAAGCATTCCTCATTCAGGTTCTGCTCACCATTCATGGGCTCACAATGCTGGGGGCACAGCTCCCTCAGGCATTTCTTTCCCAGATGAAAAAATCAAAATCTACTTAGTCTGTTTTTGAATGGAAGCTGTTCCCTACCTGTGATCATCATTGTTGCACTTTTCTGTGTCTTTTCTAATTCTACTATGGCCTTTTTGAGATGAACTTTAGCTGTATTCAGACCTGAAGGTAATATAACATAATGATGTTTTCAATTCCTTTCTGATAAGCACTCAGGTGATATTTTCATAAGACTACCAACTTCAAGACCTTTTTTCTGAATGACAGGAGTTAAAAGTCACATTTTCCCTTCGGTATTAGTGGGTATTTGCTGGCATATATCACTGTTTTAATCCTGGTGACTTAGCTTTCTCTGAATCTTCTGCAAAATCTTCATAGTCAGTTCTGGATTTGGCTACTCACAGTAAACAGTCACAACCCCTCTGCCTGCTCACCCTTCTGCCTATGGCATTTACAGACAGTTCTTCTACTGCCACAGTTCAGGGCCCAGGGACACCCCAAGGTGGACCCACTGGTAATCTCCAGTGATTGTAAAAATCACTATTTTGTTCCTACCCTTTCCCCTCCTCTTTCTGCAATGACTAATGTTAACCCAGGAGATGACTTTCCTTCTTCCATCACAAAACTCCCTCTTCCAGCTGAAACACAAGTGAAGTAGCTCTTCCTCCTCCCAAACACCGTTAGTACTGATGGCAAAGCCAGACCTGCCTCCACAGGAGCTGTGCTGGCCATGGAGATGCTGCTCAACCCACCAAACTCCTGGAGAGAGGTGCTGGTCAGCCTGTCTGTCCTGGGGGGTTGGGTGGGTGCTCATGGTCACCTCCCCTCCCCAGGGATGGTCCCTGGGACCACCAGGGGGGCAGGTGTGTGGCTAAAGCCACCAGCTGTGCTTTCAGGGGGTTCTGCACCCCAACCCAACACCCAAGGGCTGAGGTGATCCCTGAATGGGGCACGGGGTGGGGGAAGCACTGCTTGAACCCCAAGGATTGGGTTAGTGAACTGCCATGCCCACAGAGAAAGCCCTCTGAGGAGGCAGGAGAGGGAGAAGATCTTATTACATATTTCACATACAGCCACTGCCTTACGGACGAGTCACGCGCGCTGCTAATCTGCCATCAGTGAATGACAGCGTTTTATATAGAACAGTAACTTTTGATTTACATATATAAGAGTTGTTGATTCTATCTGTGTCCAGATGTCTGGAAAAGGAAGCAGCTTTCCCCCACCTCCCTGAGAGGCTATTAACCTCCGACTGACGCAAACTAATGTGCAGTCACAATTCCCCAGCTCCAACTCAGAAATGCAGACATTACCATAATCGGCTAAAACAAGTATTTATAAACATTTCAGCGGGCAAGATATCATCAGCAGGGCCCTTGAACATTTGTCTTAAAATTTATTAACCAACCCAAGAAAAAGTGGCATAAATAAAGCGAAGGTTTGCCGTTGCTGCTTTTTAAGAAAAACCTGATGATATGAAATAATCTCGCAGACAATGTCATGAATTACATGACCTCATGTTTGACAAATGCCACTCCTTCATCGCTACTATCACAAAAACAACTGACTTTATGGCCAGACCTCATGGGAAAAAAAAATGTTCAAGTGTTTGCTTTCTATTTTTACTACTGTTATTTGGGGAACTCTTCAAAACCCTACAGCTAAAGCTCAGGATTTCTCCCTCCCCTAGCAGAAGTTACAATGCTGCCTCTAAAAATCTGCAATTTGTGAATCATGTCATCTTGAAACTGCATGTATTTGGACAGCCAGCCCTGGAACTTGGCTGAGTTCTGTTCACGTTCAAGAGACCTATCACTCGTGGCTGAACTTTATGAAGCAGTAGCGAGAAACTCCTGCTGATCTGCAGTACGGCCCCAGAGTAACTGGATTTGTATGAATGCATACAAAATGGTGGGGATTAAGCTCAGTTAACAGAATGGATCATGTCTTAAAAATAAGCCCAGTAAAACAAAAGCTTTGTTAAAGCACTCACCAAATTCCTTTCCATTTATTTGTAAAATTGTTTTAATTATTTGCCATGGTTCTTCGTATTTTCTGCCTAAAATTACAAAACCTCCTTAGAGCAACCTTCTCCTGATGGGACCAAAATGGCATAAATAGATCAAATTAACCCTGATCCATTCAAAAGATGGTGTTTTTATTGATTTACACCATAGGGCTCCTGCCAAACCATGAAAAAAAGATCTCAAATAATCTTGAAATATGTGGCACATGCAACTGGGAATTGAGATGGAAAGGCTTGTGTGACATAACCAAATCTCTCAAGATGGAGATTCACCCATGAATCAGCATCCTGCTCAGTCACTTCATGTTTTAAACACCTATTTCTGCTGGAGCTGCTCAAAGCGTGACCACAGCCAGGAGACATACACTCACAAAAGGAGCAGGATGATGGAAATTTGAGGACCAAGCCAAAGCCAAGGAAATCAGACAGAAGGAACAGACTGCACTGTGTTTTTCCACTTCCCAAACCTGCTGAAGCAGAGCCACTTTTCTGAGAGCAGAGGATTAAGGGTGCCTGGACCGAATCACAAATACTACTGCTTCATGTTCCACAACGAATTTTCCCCATGAAAATATTTGGGAACCACCTCCTGTGCTCTCCAAGTCTGGCATCTAACCCTACCTCCTGCTTGCTGAGCCCCTGCAGCACCTCTGGCTGCTCTCAGGAGTCCTTCGCTGCCTGCTCAGCTCCTTCCAGCTCAAGCTCCCAGAGCATCTTTGCAGCTGCACAAAACAGCTCTTCCCAGGAAGGGAGTGGGATTAAACTCGACGTGGGCACACAAATCAAAGGTGCAGCAGTGCCAGGGGTGTGCCAAGGAGGGCAGGGAGCAGAGGGCAGGGCTCAGAGCCCATCTGCAGGGGCAGCAGCCCGGTGCAGGGACACACGAGCACGGGAGCTCGGGAAGATCTCGGCGCTCAGCTTTGCTCAATTCTGGCTTGGTGAAACCAGTCCAGGTCGCAGGGAGAGCCATGAGCAGGAGTGAGTCAGGACCCCAGCCCTGCCTCCTGGCTCCAGCTCTCCCCTCCAAAGCCCAAAGGCTGGGAAAATCTGGGACGAGTATTTCTGGGTTCGGCACTGCAGCTGAGCAGCCAGTGCGGGAGCAGAACACGGAGTTTTTGGAGTTGCATCTGCAAAAGCAGTTGCTGTGGCTCTTTTTTTTTATTTTTCTTCCCATGAGCAATTTAGATGTATTAAAAACAAGGTTTTATGAAAATAGAAGAGAAAGCCCAAATTTATCCCATAGTGCACAAAAAGCACAATTCCTGCTCGTGTAAGGAGGATGATTTAAGTATACACAGAGGACAGATTTTACCTAAACACAGCAAATAAATGGGTGTTTTATTTCTACTTTAAGCACTGCAATGAGCAATTAGGCTCAAAATTTCAAAGCTATTAAAGTTACTATTAAAGTGACTAACTCCCACCGAAGTCATGTGAGAGAGAAACATTAAATCCTCTGAGACTGTTTTTTAATGCAGATTAAATGTTTATTAACTATTGCTATCTAACAAGATTTCAGCCTGAAAATTTCACTGCTATCTCTGAAGGCAAACAGCTTGGAACAATTTTGGTCACATATAAACAAAGACTGCATTCTTTAACCCTCACTCAGGTAAAGCTCCCATTGCCTTCACCAAACAAAACCAGCAGGACCAGGTAGGTAAAAATAAAGCCAATTTGACATAAGAGCATATTTATCTGCTCAGCTGCAAGACCCTGTAGGAAAAGAGTGGCATGCTCCATAATTGAGAGGTAAGTTATCTTTCATATTGTATTTTTCTTATGCAATTTATTTCACAGTGATTAAATCAAAAATATAAGCAATGAACTTACCCAAATTCTTTGATCAGGCAATTGCAACTGGGAGCAAAATTGAAACAAAAACAACACATTATTCCTGCATTGGAATCCTTATTGCAATCAATCTACTTACTAAGAGTTTATTTAAAGATACTGATTTTGAGTAATTTGTTGGAAAGTGGTGTTCTCTTCCTAAAAAATACAATCCTTGTAATGGCAAATAATTGTGAAATGCCATTAAATCATCTAACTTTCATAGCTTTTGGGCACAGGGAGGAATTTGGCCCAGCCAGGGATAGGATACAGACTTCAGGGCTCATGTCTGTAAGTTCTGTTTCAGAAACCTATTTGAAAGATCCATCTGTTTGCTGTCATATTAACCAGTTAAGAAATAATAAATTTATGGTCCCTGAGATAGCAATTTTCAGGAATAAATTCAACAACCAAACCACAAGCTTTTAGGACATGAACAATAAGTTTGTAAATATTTTAAATCCTGCCAGCAGAAAATGAGAATTTGAGGAACTCTCCCCACCTGTACTTTTACAGGGGTGAACAGGACTATAAAGGAAAAACAGCTTTTCTGGAAGCTGCTCCCCAGCCCTCTATAAACACCAAGCCAGATTCTGCCTTTGCAAACAGGAGGCTCCTTTCTGCTCTATTAAAGTTTGCAAGAAAGCATTTTGACATTTAGTTTTTTGACAGGACATGTGCTGCTGGTTTGGTTTTCTTTTACAACGTTCCTCAGTGCCTGTTACACTCCTGACCTCTGTATGGATGCAGCTCACACCAAGTTAAAGATGTTATCCCTCTCACCCAGGTAAGTGATGAAACCAAAGCCAGGCTTTGCCATGGACTTTTTATTCTGTGAATAAGAATGAGAAATGTGGAGAAGGGGGTTCTGCAGAGCCTCCCTCCCTCCTGCCCCTGCAGGCTGGTGGCACCAGACACCTCTTCCTCCTCACACTGACGGACTTGGTGACAGCCCTGGGACCTTCCTCGGGCACCAACAAGAGATTCAACCAGTTCCCTGGCACAAAACACCAAGGGTGGAAGCCTGACATCATTCCCATCAACAGGAAATGCCCAGTGTCTCCATTTCACCCACACACCCTCGCCTGACTCCCAGCTCCCCAGGTAATTCAGTCACACAATGCTATATAAAAGAACATCCAACTCCTTTCCTTCCCAACACAGCCGAACTCCAAACAGTGAATTTCAGCCCAGCAGCCCCTTCCCCACCCTCTGACCATCCCACCTACCACTGGCATCAGTCCAACCTGCAGCAACACCTTCAGGACCCCCAAATCCAACATCACTGAACCCCTCTGAGTTACAGCTTCTGAACAGCTAGAGAACACTAAGCAAAATAATCCTGCTTTTTCCATCTAAAATGCCCTCATTTAAGTAATTTACTCATAATTTACAGCTCCTTAGCTGCTCTAACAGAATCATTGACTTGATGGGGAGGAACCAGCCTGTTTTACAGCAGAGACAAAAAGCAGATTAAGGTATTTTCTATATTTGTGCATCAGGACTAGCTGCTACTAAAGGGGAATTTTCACTTGCTTTGCCAATTGGGCAGATCTACCTTATTAAAGGTAATTCAGCAGGAGGTGTTAAGCTGCTATTAAACCTTGCATATAAATTCTCAGTGATTTTAATACATCTTAAATTCTTATTTAATGCTTATAAATACTCACATAATGCCATAAATACTTATGGCATGTAAATACTACTACTAAATACTTTAATACAGATACTTTAATAGATCCAACACTGTTCAGACATCAAAATTGGAAAGGGGTGTTTTTGTGCATCTGCAACCATATACGCTACCAGCTGCTCTTCCCAATTCTGCAGAAGTGCCATATTTCAGAATATATTCCATGCAAGTTAGGACACAACAACTTAGGGCTTCATTGGGAACAGAAAAAAGCAAGTGGTAGCAGATAATTGGGCTGTTTGGCCTGGGAATTCAGAGGAACCTGAACCAGAGACAGCAGCTCGTGGTCCTGTGCCTAAAACACAGGATGTGTAGAGGCTGTCATTACTAAGAAGAAACAGCCCACAGCAAGGAGTTTCAAATCTGTAAATACCACAGAGCATCTTATTTCAGGTGTAAGAATTAACCAAGATTTTTAGCAAAATCTCCTTGGGCAAGGAGGAGGAAGACAAAATGAGGGTGTGGTGCTGGCGAAGAAAAGCAACGTACAGTTTGCACACAGAACCTCTTTCTGTACCACATACACATCACAGCTGTTAGACTGCTTTGGGACACCCTCCTAAATGTTTTTCATCCAGGACTGTGTTCTGTGAGCAAGGGAGAAGCCCTCACAAAGTCTCTCTTCAGGGACGGAGGAGCGGGGATCCTACACACACTGCACACACTGCAGAAACCCAAAGAAACCGTGGGGCATTTGCACTGCGAGGCTTGGGAACATCAGCTGGAAACTCTTCTCTCGTTTATGAGAGTCCTTAAACAAAATGAAATCCCTTTTGAAGAGGGATGCTCAGCTTTGCTGGCCTTACTCTGAATCTGCATTGACTCCCTGTAGTCAGTACTGACTCTCCTTGCTCAGAGCACAGCAGAGTGCTGAAGACACGAGTGGCTGCAAATGTTGGTAGCTACCTTATGGTTTTGGAGGAAAATGGTTCTAAAAGACACATTCAGTTCCAATCTGGCTTCCTCTATAATCAAAACATGTTGTTTCATCTGCAAAACATCAAGAAGCTCAGAACAATGCTTACGCTTTTCCACCACAATGGTCCAGCAAAAACTGTGTGGTTTAGGAAATCCAAAAATGACTAAGACTGCATTCATTTCTCTGCACCTGCTTTGAAGCATCAACAAGCTTGTTTACAACATCAAAATTCCCAAAATACTTACTTGTGGATGGAACAAGAATCCTGGGGAAGGTCTCAAGTATTTCTCTTTTAAAGCTTCCAGTGGGTCAGTTAGCTTTCTTTTTTCTACTCTGTAAATGTTAAAATTAGATTTATTTGTGATGAATCAGTCTCAGGTATTAGTAATCATACAGCTACTCAGGTTTAAAGCAGGCAATTACATGTCAAACAATTTGTTTCAAGGAGATAAGAATAAAAGATAAGAGAGGACACTCAAGTCTTGATTCCCACACACAGCTCATTACTGCCAGGGTGGGGCTGGGAATCACCTTTAAAGTGGATTATACCATTTATACAGGGAATAATCCCATTTCAAAAGACTGATAATCATTATAATAGGAACCAATGACTAACTACCAAGCACTTTTATAAACAAATAAGGCAACTGAGAAGGCTCAGCACTAAGAGGAGCGGAATTCAAGGCAACAGAGCCTTGAGCAATGGGTCCCTTGCATCTGTCCACACACGACATCACAGCCACCACCCTGGAAACCTCCCCTGTGCACAGCCAAGGTCAAGCAGGGCTCTGAGAAAGGTGGAAAGAAAGCCCACCAAGAAAGGTGGGCTTGTAGGAACACCCTGACCCTGAGGTGCCAGCAACAGATCCTGCACTTCACTCATGGCAGCAAAACCCAGCGTGGATAATTCAGAAACAGAGTGGAAATTTGAGGATTTTGTTTTTTCTGTCACTGGTGTGCATGGTTTCATGGATGAATAGTGCTGTCCAAGGCTCAGGAACAACTGGCCTCGTGCTGTGCTGCCAGAATTTGTACAGATTCCATTAAAATCACAGAAATGTAGGCTCACAGAATGGTTTGGGTTGGAAGGGACCCTAAAGACCATCTAGTTCCAACCTCTCTGCCCTGGGCAGGGGAGTTTGAAATGCAATTTAATTAGTTGGTAATGCAGGGCCATAAAACACAGATCATTATTTTCGCTGCTTCAGGCATTTAAAGTGAATATGACGCAAAGAGAACTTATGGTCTAACACAGATATCAATCTGGAATGAATAAAACCATCTCAGTAAATAGCATCATATCCTGTTTCTTCATAATGCACACTTGTTGTCTTATGCAACGGCACTCTCCAACAACTTTGCCCACAGCATTTCTTTTTCAGTCAAAGTAATAAATTAACATAATTTACATGGCAGTATCCTTTTTTCTTTTTTTTTTTTTTTTTAACAAGAAGCTGTAAGATCATTCATTTATATTACAGACACAAATTTTTATGGCTAATATTTCTCTAAACTAATTTAGATGCATGACTTTGACTCGTTACAGATATAAGAGCAGAAAGAGCAAAGGGGGGCTGACATGCACAGGATGCAGGTGAAATTCACATCACAGTGAGATCCATCTCAGTTCTGCTGGGAAACACCAGGAGGTCTGGATTTTACCACTGGCTTTTAAAATCTCATCTCACCGACAGTGTGCACCTTTCAAAGCCAACAGTGAGGCTTCCATTGATTTCACAAGGTAGACCAGGGATGGGGAGCTGCACAGCCTGGTGGAGTGGAAGGGGGTTGGAATCAGATGAGCCCCTTCCAACCCAAGCCTTTCTGTGATGATTCTATGACTAAGGAGCCCACTTGGTGAGGCTTCGTACACACAAGGATGCTGTGCCTTCAATTCTATAAATGAAATGACTGAAGAAATCAACCCAGTACTTAAATAATGGTAAAAAAGGGCAGAAATCATTCTCACACGCTTTTAATACCCTTTAGGGCCAATGTGTTTCTTTGTCATACTTGTGAGAAACTCCTCTAGAATCCAAGAGGAGCTGGCAAAGTGGAGTACAAGGGGTGCCCTGGGGAGAGGCACTGTCACCTCCAGGGGAAGCCAGAGCAGGCAGAGTTTTGGAAGAAAATGGATTTCAGGCAAACCAGTGACATCAAATAAACAAACATTCAATACCAATGCCAACTCATTTATGGGTAAGAGAATATATTCAACCTCTGCATGTCAAACTAATGACTCCCAGCAATGAGGGCTTGCTAATTGCAGCATTGCCAGTCCCATGGCTCACTTGGAGCAGCTGGGATGAGAAGAGGATGTACAGGGCAGCATGTGGCCTGGGCCCCCGTGCCCTGGCACTGCAGTGGCACCTCCAGGGGACACTGGGGAGGGGACAGGGTGGCAGCTTTGGCAGACCTGGCTGCCTGCACCAAAGGCAGCAGAGAGTCCTTTACCTGTATATGGGATCCATAAAGAACGGGGTGGGCCTGGCGTGCTGCAAAGAGGATTCTGAAGCTTTCCTTTGCTCGAGGTCTCCTCCTTTCTTCTCTCCAAAGACGTGGTTTTTCCGAGGCTCGGCTTGTTTGGTGCTGCTGGCTCGGCTTCGGCTGCCCATGCTGAGATCCAGAGGCTGGTCCTGGCTGGATGCAGAGGGGGCTGCTGGCTTGGAGGGGATGGGAGTAAGTGGCTTCTCCTCCTTACGTTTTATGGTGAGGTCAAAGGGAGACTCAGAGCTTCCCTTTGGGATCTTCTTAATTTCACTGGGTGATTGGGGCTCCACTTTCAAGGGTAACGGTCTCAAGTCTCTATCAGGAAATGGATACATTGATTGAGAGAATGCTGGAAAAAACGGGAGGGGAAACATGGAAGGGTAAGGTAAGGCTCCGACTTTTTTGTCTTGCAGCCCCACAAGTCCTGTTGAACCAAAGTACTTTTCAGCAATAGAAGCAATAGCCTTTATAGAATCATTCACCGCTCCTGACACCGCAGTCTGCTCCTCTAAGGATGGTGAGAAAATGGAATGATTGCTGTGGTCTTTCTTATTATTTATTGACGCCAGGCTCTGCAGAGAGCTTACTTTGTCTTTGAACATTTTACCATTTTCTTTAAATTTCTCTTTCTCACTTTCAATGTCACTTTCCAGATCAGAGCCCGAGGTGGTTTCCAGGTCACTGCCACTGGGGGTACTGACATCGTCAAGGTCAAGGTCACTACTCTCTGACTGGTCACTGAGTTTCTCATGCGGCCTCTCTTCAGAGGACCCTTCTGGTTGAAGCTCCACTGGCTTATTCTCCCCTACTGATGGTTGTTTATTTAGTGCCTTCAAAATATCCTGGGTGGCTGGCAGTATCTGAGGATTTGTCATGAGGGGACTTTGGCTTTTGTTTGTCTGATCTGCGCTCGGAAGTCCTTTAACAGGAGAACTAGTAGGTAGCAAAGGTGGCCTGTGGTACAAGCCTGAAGGAAACAGACCGGGGAAGCTAAAAGAAAATCCAGGAGCTGTTGGAAAGGTAAGACCAGCAGGATGCCTATTGGCTCCAAAATAGTCAGCAAGGCCCGGATTTGCATGATTCATATTAACCATGGACGTTTTATCCATAGCTGGGGTTCCAGGAAGAGAAATGCCTTGGCCAAAAAATCCTCCTGCTGCAAAATGGTTCTTGCCCTCACAAAATCTCCTGTGTTTATTTAAGGAAGACGTAGTGCTGAACATTTGTCCACAGTCTTTGCACTTGATTTGGGTTCTGCAATCAGCATGCATGCGCTTATGACGACAAAGGTTTGAAAACTGAGTATAGGATTTATGGCAGACCTCACCTGTATGTAAACAACAACAACAACACATCTCAGGCTTTGTGGTAATTGCCCCCACCCTCAAAGTTGTGCAAATAACACCATTTTTTACCCACCAAATGTCAATGAGGAAGCCGTAGGGAGAGGTCTGGGGACACAGATGTACAAAAGCACGTGCGCTCTCCAAAGCAACGCACCCGAGCAGACAAATGGCAGAAGACAGCACCAAAACCCGCTCCAGCCAAGCAGAAAAGGTCTGGAATCTCTAAAAGACACACTCTCCTCGTCTGCTCTTTGCATTGCACACTCAGTACCATTATTCCAGGTTGCATGAGCCCCCAGAGCCCCCCAGGAGCCGCGACCCTGTGCTGTGACCCCGCACGAACCCACGGTGCTCCTGTGTGAGAGCACAGGTGTCTCCAAACAGCATCCATTTATGTCACTATTCCCATGTGGAAATGAATCATTAAAATAAATATTTGCAGGACCAGACAGAGATGAAGCTGTCTCACAGAGCTTTCACTCTGCAAGAATAGGGAAGAGGTGAAGGAGGAGACAAGCAGGTATTTCCCATTTCCAAGTATAAATGTAACAAACATTATTTTTTTTCTACTTACAATGAAAAATTTTATCTCATGGAAGTCCAGGCTGGAACCTGGAAAACCTCAGTGCTCTCATATGTCCAACTGCATTTCTATTCATGCAATGCATACAGTGCTTACAGGTGCCTGCTGTAACTCTAAATTACACATCTTAACTTTCCTAGTCTTAATATTGCTAATTTGCCTGTTGCACATGTCACAATAGACCATATTTCAACAGCAATTTCCTTTAAGAATGAAGCTTCTCTTTATTTGCACCTCTGATGCTCAGTAACAGCCTGATGAATTTCCTTTCAAACACTTCTGGGATGAGAATGATTTCAGTCTCACAAATGCAGCATTTGGGAGAAAGCCTGGGAACATCCAGGGGAGCAGATCTACCTTGAGGTCAGGGCCTGATCTAGCCTGTGCCAGGCTGGAGCTTCCAGGACCCTTCCACAGTGGCAGGAGGCTGGGAGTGGTCCTGGCAGTGCAGTGAGACACGACAGAGTCACTCACATCACCGAGGCAAACAGGATTTTGCAGGCTCCTGATTTTCTGGCTGCTACAAACCTTAGGGAGCAAATTGGGGCAGCAACCAAGTTCAGAGTCTGCAAGTGGTGTTTGGAAGAGGGCAATACTTAGTTCCCCAGTGCCTTTTTATGTCCCTTCTTAGCATCCTTTGGATGAGCTGGAGCATTTGGCAAGTCCCAAGGCTGTGCTGTGTCTTGTGCTCTTCTTTATGCCAGAATTTGTCTGTACCACTGCACTACCTTGCTTCTAACAGTATCAGTTCCAGACTTGTTTAAAAACAAAGCAGCACCACTATCAGCAAGCACTGTTATCCTTCTGCAATAAATCTTTTTTTTTTTTTTTTTTTTTCCCAGTCAGGAAAAAGCATGTGGCCACTTTATTTTTATTTAATTTGTGTTATATCATAAACTCTCATCTTTCACACATCAAAGCCGCACAACAATACGCATTGTGTATTCTGAGGCCTTTTTAACAATCATTTTCATGATTTGAGACAGTCTGACATAATTTACAATGGCTCTATTTTAAGCCTGCAGAGGAAACTGAATTGAATGTATCCCATCCTGCACTCTTGGTTCCCATGAACTGCAATCACGTCCTCTAACTTCCACTCGCACCGGGGCCCACGCTAACCTTCCTGCTCCTCCAAATCCCTGCCCTTGAGAAAATCCACCACTTGTTGTCATCTCCTAACTGTTTACCTCTTCAGCAGCCTGCTCATATCTCACCAACAATGCTCCTATTGTTCCCGGGCCTGATCCTGCCCCATCCACCCGTTTTTCCCCTGCTCACATCCCACACTGACATCCCTGGGACAATTCGTGGGGTAAAGGGTGCAGGATCGGGCCCAAACACAGGAAATTTGCAGTGCAGTAATTCAGGAAGAAGGTTTGTTTCTGTGGATCAGTTACTGTTCCTGCTGGAAATCTTCATTCACAAGGAAAGGCAAGAAATTAGAGAGAGAAAATCAAAAATAGAGCAAAAATAGAGAGGGGAAAAATATAGAAGAGAAAGAAACGAGAGAGACAAGAAGGATAAGAAGAGATTATTCTAGTTTCTTGAAAATGTTTGATTTTCTTTTGTTAAGTAGTTTTTGTCCCTTTAAAAAAAATTTATTTGCCGATTAAACATATATTTTTTAATTTAATATAGAATTATTTATCATTAATTTTTGCAGTTATGAAGCTCTTATCTTTCTGCAATTTTCTCCTAGTTTTAACCTAATTGCAGGCATAAGATTTCTGTTCCACCACTCCAGGGTACAGAATCAAGCCCCTTACCTTCGCTGTTGAAGTTTTACACAGTAATTTCCCCCAGCTCCCATCACGTTGATCACAACAACCAAAATTCAACTGACCCAAATGGTGACTCCAGTGTTGCACCCATAGGCTCACACAAACTCCATCTTGGATATTATGAATCTACTCCTCTCCCACATGTAAAGCAGGATATAAATATAGTAATATGTATTTTTCCAGAAAAAGAAGTATCTCAAATGTATGCATTTCCAAGGACAGGCTATTATAAAATTAAAAAGAAATCATGCTTTATGAACTTTTGACCTTCTATCAGGTTGTGTTGAGATCCTGCTTATTCACATGGCTTTATTAAAGATAAGACTTTGATCAGGTTGGCTGGAGGTTGGAAAAGGACTGAAAAGAAGGGTATTGGCACAGATTAGGTCTTCCTAAAATCTGGGAAGTTCTTCCTTAAAGAACACTGGTACATTATTAAACTATTATTGTCCGTTAATATATTCTAAATTCAACAGAATCAAGAAATATTCTACTCTGGAGAAAAGAAAAAATATGCACTTAAAATTTTAAAATATCCTTACAGGCTATTAAGGGACATGCAAATTACTAATTTGACTAAATGCATTTTATCTCAGTTTTTAAACTAAATCAAATCAATAATGGCAACACCATTAAAATACATAAATATTTACTATTATAATCTCAGCAAGCAATTAACAGCTGTACCAACAATTTACCTTTATGAGCATGGAAGTTATGTAAGACTATTTAATGAGCCTTGCTCAAGGTGCCTCTTGCATTCAATAGGCATTGTACTTAACCCACAGGCTCTAAGGGCTGGCAAAGAAATTCTGTGCCCAGGTGGAAGGAAGCCCTTGCTCCCTGGAGTTCTCTTCCTCTTGGGGACTGTCACCTGAAGCCTGGGTGCAGCACAGCATCAGTGACATGCACACCCAAAGCCACGGGGATTCTGGAGGAGTCTCTGTGACCAAACTGACTGTGACACCTCCATGGATATTCCCAAGAGCCAGGATAAATCTGTGTTGTAAGATCTACCTCCTTTTCATCACATGACTTGAACTTCTGTAGATGAGGGGGTTGGTTATCAACTTTGCTTCCATGTATGAAAGCAACAGAAGCTGGATTTGATTTCTGCTGTTACACCTTATTACACCCTTTAATCTCACTGCCGTACTTTTAAGCAACTGACTTGCAAGAGAAGCTTCCCTCCTTGCAGCTTTTATTGCTCTACAGACCTCAGGTTTAACACAAAACCCAGTCTGGCTCAAAAAATTGCAAAAAATTAATCTCGTGCCTGCGCACGCTCTATGGTGATTGTCTCTGGACCCCAAATTAACCAGCAGTTAAGTTTGCATATTTTCTGCTCATTAAAAAAATTACTGTAAGTACTATTTAGAATATGTTCACTCTATTATGGCATGTGGTTTCTATTTGGGGAGGCTGGAGATTTTGCAAAGGCAGTCAGTAATTACCTCAGTGTTGGTGAGTTTTCACTCAAGCTTGGGCGGCACACTGTAATAAGAGACAGTTGCCATAAACAGACTGGTACGAGTAAATCATGGTGTGTGGCCTTCTGGTGGAAAGCAGATATCTGCTCTAGGTGACCCTACCTCCCTCTCACGGCTCGGCAAAGCCACCAAACGTGGTCTCCAAAGCTTTTTGTTCTGCAATCACACGGCTGTTATCCCTAGGCTGCTCCATGGGGTTTCATCCCTCATGCTACATGTGAAGAACACCAGTTGTTGTTTTGGTTTATCAGGAAAATAGCAAAAAAAGCATTTGAGAGATTATTTCATTCATGGGAGGCTCCACTTAAGAGACTTCTACGTAGGATGTTGCTATAGACCCACCTGGGAAGTCCCTACCTAACTAAAAGTTAGTTTTCTAATTAAGTGTAATCATTTAATCTGCAATCAGCTTTAAAAATCATTAGTGATATTTAATATTGCATCTATTTATACATTTCCTCATTGAAGGAGTCCAAAGCAAAAGTATTCCTAATCCAACGGCAGGTTACAAATTTTGCACAAATGAGTTGTTTAAGCCAATACTCCTCCTCTTGAGGAAATATATTGGCTTGTGGCCAATGCTTTTCACAGGTGTGGTGCAGACATTTCAGGAAATTATTGTTGAGAGCAGCAAAAGATTGAGAGGTTTAGCAGACAAGTAGAGGAGATGGTCAAGGTACAAGTCACAGCAGGTGCCTGAAAAGGCTGTGGTGGAGAGTAGCACTACCAAGAACAATATTCAAACATATTTTCTGCCTCTGCTTCCCTGGTGAAAGGGAGGGAAAGCAACCTGCACCCTTCCCAGGCAGGGTCTGGCTCAGCAGCAAATGCCACCTGTGAAGTGCTGAGGATCCCATTTAAGCCCAGTACAGAACCAGGCTCACATCCAAGGAAAGTTTAATTGCTGGAGAAGCTGTTAGTGAAGATCTAACAGCTCAACTCAGTCCTTGAACTTTGGGCATGCCAAGGAGCATCGTGGAAGGTGGCAAGATGAGTTTCACTGCCTCTGGGATTTGTTTTCCAACTCCAGCAAATCATGGCATCTGCTGTGGAGATTCTGCAGCCCAAAATCTGCACCTAAACCAGGAGGAGAGCAGCCAGCTCAGCATGGTGCAGAGCAATGAGGCTGCAGCCACCGAGCCTGGCACGGCTCCTTCTGGCTAAATCCCACTCCTCACTGTGCATCTGTGCGTGGAAAAACATCCCCAGGACAACAGGTACACATTTCTACAGCACACAGTGTCTGTCTGAAAAGGAAAATCACGTGAAAATAACTCCTTGCAGTGGACCACGAGTTACCCAGAGCTCATGCAGAAACTCGCAGCCCTTGAGACACGGGTGGGAAATTCAAAGGGAGCAGAACACAACCTCCTGCTTCCAGACTGCGCTGCTTTACGGCAAGAGAAACAACACTTAATCAAAGACACTTAGTTAAAGACTTACATATGAAAGGTTTGACACTGCTGTGGATGTGTTTATGCTGTTTGAGGCCTGAAGAAGTGGCAAAGGTTTTGCCACACTCTGGACAAGCGTGAGCACGAGCCCCCACATGCTGGGAACGAATGTGCCTCTGGAGGTTGCTGGGGTCCGTGAAAACCTGCTAGGAAATGAGTACTGATTAACCAAGAAACTTGACTGCAGAAGAAGCCAGTTATTACAAGTCTTTTAAAATTCAAACCTTGGAGCGATTTCTGGGAGTATTCTAAGATTAAAACCCTCGCTAATGGCCAGCAATGGGAGCTGTGCCTGCAGGAAGGGGCCTCAGTTTCCCAGGATCACCCAAGTGTTGTGTGGGTCTGTTAACCCCTTTGCAGCAGATGCATTTGACTTTGCCACTAGAAATTGCACATTTGAGGTCAGGGACTTCATGGGAAATGAGTGAAAATGTGGCTGCTTGAAACCTCTAAGCGTTATTGCAATAGAAATACTTTATACTGATATCTCAGTGTGTGACAACAAGTAATGCTGTACACAATGCTTACATCTCATAAAGTGTCAGCTCAATATGAAATTCCCATTATTGCAGCAAATCTACCTAAAACCAAGTAAGTCCTCATACAAAAGGGCCGAGCTTTGGAAATCTGATAAAAAGCAATGCCGAGTACCACGTCCTATATAAATAATCCCCACAGCAAGCCCAGTGCTGGGAAGTGATGGAGATGCTTTAGAGATGAGAGTTGTACTCAGTGCAGGGGTGCATTGCTACTGCTTATTTTTGATTTATATTGCAGTAGTGTCGTGGAGTTTCTGGTCCCAGCAGCTGGCACACAGCCCAGGGAATCCTCTGCCCTGTGTTTCCCTGGGGGTTCTCACCCCTCACTGACCCTCTTACACCCCAGCAATCCTCTCAAGGAGCCAAGCCCTCGCCCTGAGCTCATCCTTCATCAGTGCCCATTTCAGACTCCACAGCCAAAACCTTTTCCAAATCAAAGGGGAAAGAAAAATAACATATTTTCAAAGGAGAAGTGAAAATCCTTGAGAAACCACCTGGAGCATGGCAGAAGCCCTGTGCCCTCCTGCATCCCATCCTGGGGCACCCCCACTTCCATGCTCCCCTGCATCCAGCAGCACAAGAAGTGCCAGGCAGCCTAGAAATTCACTGTACCTTGGCACAGTTCTCACACTCGTAGTGCTTCCCGCTGTCGTGGGACATTTGGTGACGGATCAAGTTGGATTTCCAGTTAAAAGCTTTGGGGCACTGGTCACACTTGTACTCCCTCTCCTCACTGTGTGACAGCATGTGCTTCTCCAGGCTGTGGAAACAGGAACAGGGCTCAATGACATGTGGGTTTATAGGAAGAGGAGAGAGCAGAGCACATAGTTACAGCCAATAGAAAAAAACATTAAAAAGCCCCAAAGGCCCAATCCTGACAGAAATAAGTCCTGTGAGTTCCAGGCTCACCCCAGCCAGGAGGCAGAACCTCCTTCTCCCCACCAGAATAACACATCCTCTCATGTTTTGCCAGGCCACTTGCAAATGCTCCAGGAGATGCTGCTGCCATCGCTCCCCAAGGAGATTATTTCATACACCTCTCAGTATTTCACTCTGGTAATTCTTCCCTGCAGTCTGAATTATTTCTGCCTTATGACTTTGCCTCTAAACACACCTTGGATGCCACCACCTGCCATAAATCCACTCCTTTTATGGGAGTCAATTTTTCTTACAGCAGGAATAGATGAGGAATAACTCCTCTGGAGTAGGACAGGATGAGTTTAAGAAGCCTCTAGATAAGGTACACCACAACTGAAGTTATTAACTTTATTATTATTATTTATTATTAATAGTTATTATTATTAACTGTGTGCAATACTGTGGTTGTTTAGTCATTCATTTCTTAGTGGTTTATTCGGTCTGTTATTAGGATAATCAAATTCTGTTGCACATCTTTAAATTATTTTTTGTCTCTGAATTTTTATCATTCATTTGTGGAAAATGTGCATTTTTAAACACCTGTATTGCTTGGTCACATACACAGTCATAACTCACACCACTGCCTGATGGAAGATCACTGCATAATGCATGAGTGGATTCACAGAAAACCCACTGGAAGGTGGGAATTTTAGCCTGGGATGCCCAAACCGATTGTACATGAAGTTCTCACTGATCTCTGCTGAATCAGTGACAAAACCTGCTGGGGTTACAGCCCAAACAGCAGCCTCCACTCTCAGCCACAGGCAATGGAAACGCTTTCACTCTGCAGATGTTCTTACTCCTACCCCTCTTCTTCTTTTGGGAAGGAAAAATAATTCTGGCTTCTCCTCTTAATACTTTTATAACAATTGATGTAAAAAAATTTGTAGTAAGACCTAGAGGGGCTCTTGTCTCTGGCTGTGGCAGCAGCTCCCGGACTCTGCCGCGGCTCCGTGATCATCAGCACTGAGCTCTCCTGGACCCAACACCCAATCTTCCTGCTCAGCTACTTCTCCATGTAATCACTCACACCCTCAAGCACAGCTCATTTGGGCTTTTTGTGTTCTATAATCTCCATATAGCACACTTTGGCATTTTTTTGCAGTGGACTGTCTGTGTGGTGTATGAGCCTTTCAATAATTCAGAAGTTCTGAGAACGGCTGCATTCACTCTCATTTTTCACTCTTTCTCACAGTACTCCCCATCTATTTATGATGGCTCCTTCTTTGTTTTCTGCCCTTTCTCTTCAATATTTAATATTTTAAGCTAAATTTACATTTCCTCAATGGTTCCCATAGGTTAGATATCATCCTCTCGTTTGCAGGGAGAAAAGAACTTTAGCACTGAATAACTCCCAACGTGAAAAAACCTCACAGACCAGAGTCCTGCCTCACTGGCTGCTGGAAATTCTTCTGACCTGATCTGCCTCCAGCAGCCCCTTGGAATCAATCCCTCAGACTGAAAATCAGACACATGGAGCCACACACTGCCTAACATCAGCCAGGGAACAAGACCTTGTGCCTGTACAAATTCCTGCTCTGCGGGGTGAGCTACACTGGGGAGTGATGTTTGGCACATCACGTTTCAATTTCAGTGTCAGTAGTTTTGTCCGAGTGCCAGGATCATCCTCTGATCTGAGACATGGCACATGATGCTGGGGTAACTGCTCCATGGAGAGGAGTGAAGGAACATCTCTCTTTTGGGAGGGAGGGCTCCATCTTGCAGAACCAGCACCTGGAGCACCCAGGAGCAATCATCCAAAGGGACCGACTCTGGGCATGCAGAAAACCATGCTAACCTCCAACAGACACCATGAGATCCTGGACCATGGACTAGCTGTGAAAACACACAGAATGTTCTAAACTGACAAGCCAGCTTTTAAAGGGCAAACGATTCACACACTGCTGTGCTGAAAAAGGGCAGTTCACAGTTACTCTGGTTGTGCCCACATAACGTGGAAAAAAAACCAAGAAGACAGGATGGGAGTGTGGGAATGGTGCTAAGACTGAAAACAGGAGATCCTGGATATCAACCAGCTTCCTACGAAAGGCACCACCCCATCTCAGCAGAGCATGGCCCAGGACCTTGCTATTGAGATGTCTCAACATTACTGTCAAACATTGCTTGAGCTTATCCTTCCCCAGGTCAAGAAATCACCAACATGTGAATCTGTAAGGGATGTGCTGCAAAAATTCCTGTGAACTCTCAGTATCTTCCACCAACTTGCAAAATTTGCTGTTAATCTGCACTGCAATATTGTATTTTAAGTTATCACAGAAACTATAGTGACAGGAAAGTTGCACTGTTTACATTCTATGTGTATTTTGAGTACATATGCACACATGTCTGTCTATTTTAGCAGAGAGATAAATTTAAGAAAACAAAAAACCCTGGTGTTCCATGACCATACAGCTAAAACTAAATATCAACATACAGACATATTTATTAACATCTAGAACCCATCTCTAACTAAAATGCCTTGTTTGCTAAGACAAAATTGGTAACATCAATGAACACTCAGAGATGCTCCAAATTATTTCTCCCTAAGATTAAGGAACCCAGACTTCAGTGGATGGGAAGTAGAACCACTCCTGTGATTTCACTGCAATCAGCCCAGTTCAGATCTGATTTAAAGATCCAGCTCTTAATCTAAGGTACTCACTAAGGACTTCAAGCACAAGGACCAAATGATTTAGACTCTACAGCTTTTCATACCATAAACCACCAGCTGGCATAGAAATCCTGCTCATCTTCATCTTTGGTTTCTGTAGAAGGTGGATTTATCAGGTCCTGATGCCCTGCATGATCCAGCTGAAGCCATCACAGAATCTGCCTGGTTCAATCACGTTTTAAACACCTTCTCCTACCTTTGTAAGTCTGGGAAGACTTGGTCACACTCTTTACACTCCTGGATTTCATGCACATCCTGAAGGTCATTCTCATTCTCGAGCTTCTTCTGGAAGTCCTCCTCCACCATGGAGAAGGCGGAGTGAGGTGTGCTGCAGGGGAACTTCTGGTGGTCCACCAGCTCAGCCTTGGACTCAAAGAGCTGGTCACAGTCCTCACAGCGGTACTGGCGCTCCTCTGCAACACACAGGGGTTGGGCACAGGGAAAACACTTCAGCTTTCACTCATTTTTAACCACCACCCCATCAGAAGCTGGATGGTGGTGTGGTTAATGAATTGCTCGTCAATTAAAAAAAGAGAAAAACCTCAAAAGAAAGAAGGGCTCTTAAGAATGCTTTATAATAATGCTTTTGATTCCATGTTAACTGCCTGGGTGACATCCAACAGGGATCACTTATACTGGCTTAGGACAAAAGTTAAAATAGCAAGGAAAAGTGTTTAAATACCATCCTAAATGGAATTATACAGGGTCTAACATGGATATCCAGCAGAGGCTGCCAGTCTCTGCATTTCTCAATGAAAGGGACTGACTCAGACACAAACACCAGCATCTAAAATAGCCAAAAGGGTGTTTGGAGTTTTTAAAATCCTCTTTATTTTCATCACAGTCCTTCTGCAGCACCCAGCCCTGTTCAAAGTAAGCCAGAGAAACGTGAAGTCTTTGCTTTAAATTCCAATAAATTGGTCATAATTTCTTACTGAAAAGTACAGAATATCAGTAAAGTCTAACTTTGGAGTGAGTACTGCATTCCCTTAACTAGTAATTCCTGCAAAAGAATAAATTAGCTGAAGAAAATCCCCAAAAAACAAACTTGGAGAAGAGCATCCCACAATGTTTTTTTTTTTTCTGCTGCATTTTCTACTGTTGGTCCATACGAAGGAGCCAGACACCCTGGTTTGGTTCCAGATATAAATGCCCTGAGGCTCTGAGTCAGAAAAGCACTGGCTGGAATCCCCAATGAATGTTCTTGGTTGCTACTTGACAGTTGAGCTGATCCAGAGAAAGTGTCATGGGGCTCTGCTCTTGGCTGTCCATGAGCAACACTTTGGCCCAGCCTGCTTCTAAATTAGCCCTGTGGGACATGGTCCTGCATGTGACTGCAGAGATTTCCTCTGGTGTCATTTATACAATAGCTACTTGACCATGGGGACTAGGCAGGGAGAGCTGGACAGGGGGACACCTTCAGCAAAAACTAAACAAAGTTACCACTGGGGGAAAAAAAACAAACACAAAACCAAATGGGAATGAATATATAATCCCCACCTTTAGCCTTAAGAGGATGAGAAATACTACTTTAAATGTACAAGCAGTTACAAGGAAGTAGAGACCTTGATAATTCCTGCCCCGTGCATTGTCCTGGGATCACTGAAAATGTGTAAAATGTCCCTCTGGGCATAAACTGCAACATGCTGGGCATTAAGCAGATATCCCACACCCAATTCCCACTGTGGCTGATGACCCACTGCCCAGCAGGCAGCACAGCTAAAAGGGGATTTTGGAGACTGGGGGACAAATCTGAGCAGCAACTCAGGAGTTTGCAGATGAAGAATTTCTTTGTGGGATGAGTGTGGGACAAGTGTGAGGAGTAAGAATGGCTGAGATGTCCTCAGGAGTGAAAGCAACATTGACAACCTGAGATTTGCTCTTCTCAGGGACACATTTGGCTAAATGGCTAAAATTAACTATAACCAGGGCCCATACGTGTCCTGCAGGAGCAGCACAGTCTTGAGACAAGGACATGGACTGCTGTTCTTCTTTTGCAACCCCACAAAACCATCAATTGTCAATCAGGAACACGAGGGCAGAAGATGGACAAATGCAACAACCACAGTCCAGCTCTCCTCAGCTTCTCCTGCACTGAAGCCATCCCAGATTTCAACAGAAGAAAAAATCTGCCTAAATTCTGGGCTAATTTCAGTGCTAGTTTCTGTCAGATGAAACAGCAAGAAGAGGCTAACCGTGGATGTCCGGAGCCATTGTCTCATGTGAATAATCTTCACTCTTCATGAACAGTAAGAGCTCCTCTCCTGGTTCAATATCTGCTACCACTCTGTAGAATATCTGGGGGAAAAAAAAAAAAAAAAAAAAAAGAAAGAAAAAGCAAGGTAAGCACCACAATAGGCAAAGAAGCATCAAACACTGCTGGTGAGTGTGGCAGACCTGGTGGCCAGAGCCTGCCTCTGCCTGCTCATGATGTTGTTCCTTCCAGCCCCAAAGCCACTGTGTTTTGGGCTCTGTGAGGATAAGAAGAACAACTGCTTTCAACAGCCCCTGCTGCAAAATGAGCTGTGTGATGACTGCAGATATCACCAGCAACTTGTCTGCTGAGTTATACCAAACCCAAGTACAGAGCAGACATAAAACACATCCCTGAGTGATCCCTGAGTAGGGGAAGGAACTCCTGTTGCACTGGGAAAAGGTACTAAAGTAACTTTAATGCTTGGACTCAATTATCTTAGACGTCTTTTCCAACCTAAATGTTTCTATAATTCTAAAGCAGACATGAGGAGATGCTGCTGGTTAAGCCATAGGCATCCAGCCCCCCATTCCAACCATCTACAGAGTCCAAAAAGCTGGGAGGGGAGAAGCTTGTAAGAACCACTGCACCTGGTTATTCCTTCACTTCAAATGGAAACCAAGGGAAAAATCAGTCCTGGATGGAGAAACACCGTGAGCAGCCAGAGCTGCTGGCCTGTGACACCTTGTGCCCTCATACAGGTGATGCTGGGCTGTGGGAAGGAGCCCACTGGGGAGGCAGGAGGCTGTGGGGGAGGGCAAAGGGGACACCCTCCCTTGGGTCCATGTGCCATGCCAGCATCACAAGTCTCTGCCGAAAGGAAATTCCCAAAATCCATCTGGCTGCTTTCTGTCTCAGCAGGAAATGTGAAGAGCACTAAAAAGCTCCATGAAGCAGCTCAAATAAATATTAGTAACTTCCTCGGGCCTTGTTAAACAAAACCACATGACAGCTATGTTTCCTACGCTAAAAAATGATGCCTTTGCTTTTTTCTCAGACTAATGTACTTTTAAAGGGTTCGCTCCCAAACTCTCAACACTCACAGCAAAGCACGGGCAGGGAGGCAGCAAATCGCCTCCAGTGTTGGAAGTCACACAGATGGGTGTGTCACAGGTAGGGACAGGTGTCTGGAGGTCCGTGGCTACCTTCCCTGCCCGCTGGTAGCCACGGTGGGGGCTTTCCTGGCCCAGGCACACGCAGAGCGTGCAGCCAGCACATACCGGTGTCCTCCAGGAGGTGGCCGTACAGCCTCATCCTTCCTGCCTGCACAAGCTGTGCCCACGGATATGGGCTAAACACCCACAAATAGCGAATTTGGATGCATTTCCTCGGGTCTGGAGGTTGTTTTTTTGCCTTCAGTTTGTCCCAAAAGCTGCTCCAGACAGCAGTGCAGGGAGTGGCGGTGGAGGCTGCTGGGACAGCTCATCCCACACCCCGGTGCTCATCCCTCACCTGGTGACAGACATGCTGGCAAAACACATCAGGCACAAGGTACCAGTGCCACAACCCCCTGCTTTTGGCCAAATTTCCCCATAAAAACCAGGAGAAGGAATTTCTGGGCAGTGTGATCCACCCTCCCTCCTCATCCACACCACTCTCATCAAAACACCAGCCTGGGCTGCTTGAGCTTCCCATTTGTATCTCTTGTTGAGGAGATTTCAAACTCCATTGAGTGTTTTGGAGGTCAAAAGAGCCTGGCAGTGTCCTGTGTATATCTCTTCATGCAGCCAGGTAAGTATCTGGTACCAAACAGCCCCAGGGAATACCCACAGGGGTACCAAAATCCCATGGATGAATGCTGCTGCCAGCGCCAAAGGATGCAGGGCTTCCTGCTGGGCTCCATCATGCTGGGGCTGCACTGAGGCAACACAGCTCATCCCATCAAAGGCCAAACCACATTTAAATGAAGCTAGCTTTCACCTCCTGCAAATAAACCTGATGACAGTGCCACATCCAGTGGGTCTTTGCTGCAAGCAATGCTTGGTTTTCCATTTGTTACGATGAATGGATTGAAAAGTGGATTTTTAATTCCAGAAGTGGAACAGCCTCTGCATATCTGAGAGGGAAGCTGCAGCTGGATCTGTGTTAGACAGGCTCAGTGGCTCGCTGGTTTGGGGTGAAAATAACGTGTGAAATAATGACATGTGCACACTGATTGAAGAGACTTCTGGAGACCTCCGTCTTGGGGTGGAAGCAGGAGCAGGACCACCACACATCAGGAAGGACTTCTGCCATCCCAGAGGGACTGTGCCAAAGCTTCTGCTTTGCCCAGGACTTGCTTCTGCTCCCAGGTTTTATTTCCCAGTCAGGTAAATGCTGCTGTTCTTCCTGGCTTGGTGTTGCACCCACACCAAGGAGTGAACAAAAACCACAGTGGAGCCTTCTCTGTTATTTTCCCATCAAAGGTTTGGACAGACCTTTTCACCTCTCATCACAGAGTGAGGACACATGGACTGGGGCATAAAGAGGGTCTTGTTCACAAGGGCTGTGCTGGGAGCATCACTTCTCCTGGGGAAGCCCAGGATGATGCAGCAGCTTTCCTGCAGCTGTGGGACACATCCCTGAGCAGGGAGCAGACTGCAGCCAGTTGTCTTGTCTGCACTGGTATTTAAAAATCCAGAGATGATCCCAGTACCTGTCAGAAACAGCCTGGCCAGCCTCTCTGTCCCTCAGCAGGGAAACAAGATTCAAAGGTTTCAAAAATCTCCGTTTTTAAGCTGAGTGATGTTTCTTTATTTTGCATCTCAGACCTAACATTCTCCAAAACAAAGGCTGAGTGACAGATTTCCAGCTCTGGAGTTTTCACATCATTAGAGTACTAACCTTAATCATTATTAAAAATAACTTTTAGAATTTCTGTATGCACAGAAAAAATTCACCTGCACTAACCATTTATACACCAATTTGCATTGCAGTGAGAATCTAAAATAAAACATATTCAAATTTAAACCAAAAAAGATTGTGCAGGTAAATTTATTCTAAGAGCTGTCCTTATTACTTCACATGAATACATTTTCTTTCCTCATTCTTCTCACCTAAAACCTCCTGGAATTACCCTGTCTGGGAAAAAGTGAGAAGCCAACTGCTGAAATAAACCACACTACCTGAATTTTGAGGCAGCAGAAGCTGACTGAGGGCAGGCAGTGGGGGAGTCCTGCAACCCCCAGATGGGGAACCTCACAAATTCCGTGCCCCTTGGGCTGCCTGTGTTTTGCAAGAACAGCATCTCCACCACGGGCAGTACTTTTTGTATTAGGAAATGCTATCATAAAATAAGTGGATTTCTCAATTGCAAAGCTTGAAGATTTCTGGCACACAGTCCTGACTCTACTGTAATTAATGAAAGATTTCAATTTTCTGGCTATCATTCCTCCAGCTGACTGAGCCTGCTCCATTAACCAACTTTTTTTGGGTTAACCTGCACTGGTCTGCTTTGAGAACAAGTATAGGAAGAGCTTCTGCACAGGAGAGGAACAATCAGAGGAGGGGGGGAAAAAAAATAAAAGCAAAGTCCAGATGCTCATTTCACATGCCCTGGGATCAACGGTGTGTGACTACAGTTTATGTAGGAAGGGCAAAATGGGATTCAGGTCTGGAAACACTTTCTAAGTTCAGGGGGTCCGAGGTGGGGAGAAGCTGGGGGAGGCCTGGCTCATCAGTGCTCTGTGCCTGCCCACATGGCAGGTCAGAGATCTGTGCTACTGAGCAGAAATAAAAGCTCCCAAACTGCAAAGCCATAAAGGGAAAGGGGAGGGCAGGGGGGAAAAAAAAAAAGGAACACACACAATTCGCTTTTAAATGGATGAATAAAGCCTCATTGTTATGAATCCCAGTTTACTTTTCCTGGTCAGGCACTTGAAATTTTATTTATGCTTAATAGACTGCATTTGGCATGTGTAAAGATGACAGAAGCGTGAATTATGAACGACCTTCGACCTATTCAGGAAGTTGTAATAATTGGAATAATAGCGAAACGCGCTCCCCGCGAGCTCGGCTGGGGCCACGCTTGGCCGCTGAGCCCGTGTGCTTTGAAGCACCCCAGCCATCCCCCTGCCCCTGCCAGCCCCACACCGCCCTGCCTGGACCCCCCTCTGCTCCCATCAGCATCCCCCAGAACCAGGAGGGGTTAATTGAAGTTAAGGTTTTGGGGGGGAAAAGCAACAACTCAGTCACCGAGTGCGAGCGAAGGCAGGAACTGCCACGCACGCATCTGTCGTGCCCCAAAGAGGAGCTGTGTTCCGGGGCATCCAAATAAACCCTTTACTCCTGCCTCCAGCTTTGGAGAACACTGCACGTGCCCCAGAGCTGCCTGGAAAATTCAGGTTTCTTGGATGCTACGCCAAGTCGGTGCAGTTTGTCCTTTAACCCCCAGGCCAGGTGCTGACCTCACAGCCCCCACCACAGGGGAGGCACCCAGGGATCCTGTCCTGTCCCACATGGTGCAAACAGGAGGGCACACCCTGCTTGGGATGGTGGGAAGGAACAGAAGACCCCAAAAGTGGATTGCTCCCCGGTGAGCCCCACCAGCAGCCACATCCAGCACTCACTGGACCGCATTCCATGGGGGAACCCACCCCAAGCAAGGCAGCCTCATCTCCCAGCTCCTTTGGGGAATGTGTCCCAAGAGGCAGCGTGCATGCTGCCAACTGGCATCCACCTCCACACTGCTTCAGAGCAAGAGTGGAACTTGCTTGAAAAGTAAAACAAATTAAATGTCCAAAATCACTAATGAGTGCTATGGCCAAGGAGCTCCATCAAAATCAGGAATTATGCCCACCGTACAAATGAGAAGGATGAACAGACAGCTTCACAACAAGGCATAATTAAGAGTTTGAAGGGAACAAACAAGAAAGAAAAAGGTCCAAATAGTAGAGCTTCAATTTTAGCTCCCGTGATGAACTACTTGTGCAGCTGGAGGGCTGTGTGATGAAACCTGAGCCAGGCTCTCTTTGCTATACTCAGGCAAATGATAAATTGAAACAAACTGGAGTTTTTTCAAGGGCCAAGGTAGAGGAGTCCTGCCTGAGAGCTGTACTGGGCCCAA